ATGCGGCCCCCCCGGAGGGTTCCCCCCTTCCGGGGGGGGGGGGGGTGGGCCCCCAACCGCCTTTTTTCCCCCTTTTTTTTGTTTTTTTTGAGGGTTTGGTTTGGGTTGGGGGGCCCCCTTGTTGGGTTTTTGGGGAGGGTTTAAACCCTTTTTTTTGTGAAAACAAAACCCCCCCTCCCCCCCCCCCCCCCCCCCCCTCCCCACCGCCAAGGCGTTGAGTCTCGCCTGCGAGACCCTAGCGTCAAGGATCCCAAAGCGGAACTTCGTCAGAGCCTGGTGCCGAGGCTTCCGCGCGTTCAGGACCTGCCCAGGGTGACTTTGGAGAGGACGGAGGAGGCGCACCGCAAAGAGTGCGAGGAGAGGGAGGAGCGGTGGGACGTAGAGCTGGCGGACACGCTGACAACCGCGGAAGAGGTGGGCCGATTGTTTTTTGCGAAGAATAATTTGGGAGCAGCCCGGGTTTGGTGTCATCAGGCTGCCGTCGCTTGCGTGTTGCATCTGGTGGAGAGTGCCGTTGGTCGCATAAGATGTCACACCCCCTCTTGGCTCGAGTTTCAAAGCTCGATTTGTCGGCAGGATAAAACAGCTAAGGTGCCGAAAAAGGCGGCGTTAGAACCGTCTCGTCGAGAGCTTTCCGACAACGTATCCTCGCATTTCAGCATCCTCCTCTTCGTCGTGGAGTAATGAAGCTTTCAGAATCATTCCAGGGGGTGTGGTATATTACATCATGCAACAACCTACGGTAGTTACCCGCTCCTCCCACTTTACTTTTTTCGTCAGGAAATTGTCGGTGATTATAACATGTCGGATGTACGTCGTGAGGCAACTCCCCCCCCCCCCTTCGTCGGGTCGGGAAAACAAAGCCACCCATATTGTACACACGCTGTCAAAAGTGGGTACGGCAGTACTGCTTGACGCGAACAAGAACGACTCCACAGGAGCTTTAGTTCTGCTGCGTGCTGTTCGGCGTTTGATACAACCCGTCACGCAACAACTATGTATAATACAATATGTCCCATCGCCGCGTCGTCATTGCGGCCGCAGGTCCGGAAGCGCTTGATCCGTCGCGGCACCAAGAAACTGCCGCCGGGCAGCTTCAAGTGGTGGGAGGACATGGAGACGAGGGCTAAGTCGGGCTGGCTCTCGAAGGAGCAGCTGGCGGGGTCCGAGTTCGCGCGGAGGGTGGCCGTCAAGCACGGCATCGGGGTGGTTGCGGCGCTAATGAAGAAGAAGGAGCTGGTGTGTGTGTGTGCGTGTGTGTTTATCTTTTATTTGTTTTGTTGTCATGGCCCGTGATACCCGCGTATGTGTCACCGCTGTGTTAAGCGCTAACCGGCTGATGGCCAATGAAATTTTTTCAGTCTTGGTGAGAAAGCACCAGCATTGTTACAAAGCTGTTGTGCTCGAGGTCTGCCGACAGCAGGGGGGGCAAGCGGGGGGGGGGATAGGGGAGGAGTGCGCCGAGACGACGAGGAAGGGCTTTCGTCGGATTTTTTTTCCCTCAAAGTTGTCGTCCTGACGTACTGCCTGTACCGGCTGCTTCTATAGCCGGCTCCGCAACGTTGACTGCGCTGCACGCTCGGTACCGCGATGTGATCGATGGTCAAATCGACTTGGGGCACGCAGCCAAGATGCACAACGTGTCTCCCCTCCTGCCTCATCCTTCGCCCCGCCGTTTCTCACGCACACCACCCCATCTGGTGCCAACTCGTATTTGCATCGCCCCATCGTCCACAGGCGTCGAAGGAATCAGCCGCGGCGTCTGCCGCGGAACCCGCGGGTGCCGCCGCCGCCGCCGACGGCGGCGGCGGCGGCAACGCTGACGACCCTATGGACGTGAGCGATCGTCCAACAACGGGCGACAGCAGCAGCGGCGGCAGCAGCAGCAAGGACAGCAACGGCAAGGCCGGCAACAAGCGGACGCCGGGTGCCGGGTTGAAGCGGCCCCTCGATCCCCTCGCCAGCGACGATGCCGTCGAAACCGTGCGGAATATCCGCAGACGGCTGGTGCTTGGAGCGCCCGACGACGGCGACGGCGACGACGATGCCGATGACGATGGTAGAGGCGTGGGGGCGACCCCGCCCTCGGAAGAACAGGAGGCGGGCCTGGAGATCAACAACGCCGACCTGGCGGAGCTGTTGAGGAGCACGAAGCCGAGAGGGGACCCTCGAAAGTGGGCGAGAGTCCTGTTCCGGGCGCAGAACAGCCGGAAGGGGGTTCACGCGTGAGGAGGGGCGGGAGCGGTAGACTAGACTTTGTTGTCAGGAAATTGTTACCTTGTTTTCTTTGGCCTTGTTGTGTGCATGCGTGTGTGGTGGTGTTTTGGTGTGGCCGGAGATCCACGCCGCGGGTGTGTAGTTGTAGCAGTCCCGGCGCTTGGGTTCGTGTCGATACACGTTTGATTAGCGAACTCTGGTTGTGCGACGACCTTAAGTAGATGGCTTCTGTGTTCTGGTGTGTGGGTTTGAAGAGATCGTTCCTTGCTTCGTCAAAGTACCATTTTGCCTTTGTGCAGATCCGCTGCCGATCGAATTGTACGTTGTCGAGGTTTTGCATAGTAGGCAGGGAAGGGGGGTGATGGTGAACACCACGATGGCTAGAGACGCCATGTTGTCGTGCGTTGGCGCAGCAAGAACTGTTGTGCGAAAAAGCTTTGTGGTTGCGTGAGCCAAATACGGGCGTTTGATTGTTTTTTTGTTTTGTTGTCCCACGACGACATCCGTGGGTATCAGCAACACCTTTGTCTTTGGTCACTCCTGTCTCTTTGGGAAGGGTTGCAGTCATTTTGTGACCTGCCATTTGTATTCGGCTTCGTCGTTTGGTGATCAAGCTGTGTTTGTGTTGTTATAAATCGTGAAGGTTTTGTTTTTGCGTCGATTATTTCCTTTGGTGCTTTGGTGGGTGGATTCTTCGTAGCCGAAAAAGAGACGCGGTTTCTCCGAGTCTGACGATAATTTTTCACTTTGGTATATTATTTTCTCTCTTATTCTGTGTCAGATGGCCTTGTCTCTGCTTGCGTGTGAAGCACCAAGATTGAACCAAGGGGGTGTACCTCTTTCTTTCTGGCCCGTGATGCTGACTCCTAGTCTCAGTTGTTACCTCGCATAGCGCGCAGAGGGAGCGGAGGACTCCAGAATATCTGTGGTTGATTTCTTTTGACTTGCGGACCCCTCGGGGCCAGTTTATTTGAGTGTACCTTTTTAGGGTGTAAGTTAACCTGTGACCACGGGAATCGACCGCGTCAAGTGTTGGATCAGTACGGACATATGAAGGTACTGGGTAGAGAATGATCGGAACGGTTTTTAATGTGAAGACAACAACAAAATACTGACCTGACATGGAGAGGCACACGCTCCCCGCAGCCACGCTCCTTTCCACTTGGGTCGAAAATCGGTACTATAATAGGGGCTCGAAAAAGTCAATCGAAGCATGCACTGCACTTGATTCTAGACCTGAGCGTGACCAAAAGTTTGAATGAACGAGAGTCAAAACTGAATGGTTGCTGGAAAAATGTCGTCCCCAAAGAAAGTGTCTCATTTTCTTTGCTGCGTACAGCTCCGGGGCGTGTAGACTTGAGCGAGAGAACCGAGACAGAGCAGCAGTATGGCCGGGATTCCATACAAATGGATGAAAAACACTCGTCTCTTCGGTGGGCAGCAGCAAGCTAGGGCAACACCCGCCGTGAAAGCTCTCGTTCCGTGCAGCGCGCCCTGGTTGCACGCATGTTTTTATGGGTCTATCATCCGTGGAACGTGTCATGCCGGAACGCCCGAAGATTTGTGGAAGAGCGATGGTGGGCCACGATCATGTTTGCATGCGCGGTTGGCATTGGCCGTTCGCCACACGACGGCCCTCAGAGAGAGAAAAGCCTAAGTGTCTTCCGAGAAGTTAACTCTCCCAGCTAGCCTACTCTTAGAGACGTAGGATTCCGGTGATTGCACACGGAAGAAGGTGATGATGTCTCGTCTCCCTTGGTGTGAGAGACCCCGCCTCTCGACTGCCCGTTGCCATGGATGACTCGTGTTTGGAAGCGTGTGTGTTTTCCGTCGAGTGTTTCTTGTTGGTCACTCGCAACCACAAAACAGTCGTGAAGAAGGCGATCACGACGCACGGTCTTCCGACGCCCGTACGGCGGAGTTTATTCTTGGAAGGATGCTTACTCTTTATCGCAGGCAAGGTGTCTCCGCAAGGCCAAAGCTAAAGCAACACCTACTCGCTGCTCCACACATGCGTACTTTCTACGACACACATGGTGAGTCTCTACGAACAACGTAAACAATGCAAGACCAAAGCAAAGGAAGAAAATACAAGGCACCGAGCCTTCAGACGAAGACGGCTGTTATTCAGCTTTCCAGAGGAAACGACGTACGGTGTCTCGCCAAAACCTGGTCGAAATGTACGCATACCTACTCAGCAGGATTGGCGTGTTGTTTGGACACCCAACAAACAGGCTCCCACTCCGTGTAACAGATCGGCAAACACCACAGCTCTACCAGCTACTTATATTTCCGGCGACTCATAATCTAAGATAGACCGAAGCGTTTTTATGAAGCGGGGCCCGCGCGCTTCCGGCTCTTGCCGGGCTCACGCACAATACACCCCCCCCCACACACACACCCTCTCCTGAATGGCGCGTGCCCGGCCACAGCACACGGCTGGCCGACTTGCTGCAGCCGCCTAATATTAATGCGCGTGCCCCCGCAATCCCCCGGGCCTCGAATCTGCCGACCCATCTTGCGCCACTTTCTCGTCGTGCCTCCATCCTCTCCCCTATGGAATAGCGAAGAGAAGCACCCCACCTTTTGGTTGGCGGAATATGTAGGTAAACGAAACTGCCAACCCGGAAGTAGCGAATTCTCGACATCGATGTAGATGGGCGTGTGTGTGCAAGCGCTGGTAGCGGGCGGGAGAGAGGAACGGATCACATCACGCCGCCGGCTCATCGTCTCCGCCGTCCTCTTTCCGCATCTGGCGTCGTTGGCGCCGGTTCATGCTCATTCGCTCCTGAAGATTGGAGCGCACGATGTTGAGAGGGAGTTGGGGACGGGGATTTCGAGCTCAGCGTAAAACGTGCGGAAAACGACAGCAGCGCTGTACGTATACACATGTAAAGAAGCATGTTGATATCACATCCGACATCCCGGGTCGACCCACAATCTGCTCTACAACGCCCAGAAACTTTGCCAGGAAAAAAATGGGAGACGCCGCCGGCGGCACGAACGGTTCCAGGGAAACACCCGTGTTTGTACATGGGATGGGAGACACAGCTCAAGCAAAGATGAATTGTTGCTTGCTCTGCCCCCTCGTCTGCATGCAAACCCGCCTGGTCGGTATATACGCTATAAAGTTGGGTTGTCTTCAATTTAGTACCAGCTATCATAACTGACAACTTGAGTGAACCAGCAAACACTACTGCTAATTTCAATGAAAAGGTTTGTAACAGACGTAAAGCAAGCCCAGAGACATCCAGCACGTTTTCTTGACCACTCACTGCTGAAAAGACTTAAGACTCCCAACACTCTCTTCGACTGGGGCTTTGTCTCGAACCGGTTGTAAATAGTCGTTCAGTGATCGTAAGTTACAATTTCTAAAAACTCGCCTGGTCAGCGAGCATGTCCTCAACGTCCATCCTGTCAGACGATCGCCTGAGGCCCTCCACGATGTTGCCGAAGTTGCGCTTCGCCTCGTCAAAGCCGAAGAAAGTCCCCTCTCTCTGCGCGCGGAAAGGGTAAGGAGATAGGAGGACAATGAGAGAGAGGACGCGCCAAGCACGCATCAAAAACAGAGGGATCAACCACGTTACCCCCGGGGGATGATACAACGAACGACGAAAAAGGCAGTCTGCGGTATCGTCGTCATGTGTGCCTTTACAGGTGAAAGGATATAGCTCGACAAGTGTCATGCCGTTACGCGCGCACGGCTCGAGTATATGACGTCACGCGACTCCCTCGGGTGCGGAAAATCCTCCGTGTTCCGCCCGGCCTCTACCAGAAACCCCCCGTTCGGTCTGCGCTGAGACGAAAGAAAAAAGCACCAGAACGTCCAAAATAACAACAGCAAGGAAGCGACTCTCGATGCGCGCTGGGCAAACCTCTCTGGCCTAAATCCCGCATATGCTTGACAATCCCTCTCTCGCTCGCTCGCTCTCGCAAGAAAACAAAACGCGGATGAATAAAAAATGTGCTAAAATCTCACATCCTCGTCCCAGCTGGCCGACATGATGGCGTACGTGATGCCCGCTAGCGCCACGAAAAACGGCGCCTGTGTAGCGTACGCCACGATGTACGCCGGGATGGTGTACTGAACAGAGGACCAGTAGAGCGGCCAGGGGGGGCGATAAGCAAGATAGCGAGGGGAGCGGGGGGGTGATAGTTAGAGTTGATTGATCTTTGTCTTCGGCCTTTTTCACACGCGCCGGCCCTATCTGTCCCGTCGTTTGGGGGAACGGGGTGGGGGGTGGGGGGGGGCACCTGGATAGGAATTGACACCACAAAAAAGCCGCTGATTGCGGGCAGCATGCGTAGTCTTGCCACCGAATCACCATCAGCAAAAACGAGCAAATGACCGAGCTCCACCGTGTGCCCCAAGCAAGTAGCGCACACCACATTTCGACGACCAAAGAAAAGCATCGTCGTCACACGAACAGAGCAGCACCTATTTTAGCACACCCATCAAAACCCACGAGCAATCGCCAGACGCCAACTCACGTCGTATTTGTGAGACAGCACGTACACAGTCACAAACACTCCGACACCGCCGAGCGCCGGAAGCACAAAGAACGGGACCTGCGCGACAAGGCCGAGCGACCGCGTGCAATCCGCGAGGGAAGGGGGAGGGAGCGGGTATTTGTAAGCTTGTGTGAGAGCCTGTGTTTGCCGACGTCCTCATACCGCCCCAGAAAAAAACGAAGCACTACAAAAACACCAGCACGCTATCAAGCTTGATCGACGAAGGGGACTGACTCCTTCTTGCGTGGTCCGGCGGGGCACGCACTCATGACAAACGGGGACCAAACCGAGGAGAAACATAAAACATGGAAAAACCACAGATTGGATTGGCCATGCTGGGCGTGAGGGCGTATCGACAGCAGCACCACCGCAGCTTGGCAGACTCCTTGACCTTCCAGAATCCTTGCCCAGTGCAATGTCACTAAATGCAATGGGCGACATCAACTCCTGTGCCCCGCCTCTGTCCGCATCATCTACGACCTCCCCCCCCCCCTCACCATCCTCGAGAGCATGCGGTTGGACACGATCTCCGGGATGCTGCCGGCATCCGGATCCCCTTCCGTTGCCGCTTTCGCCTACGGTGAGACAAAAGGAACAGAAACAATGAAGAAACACGCACAAAACAAAGCAGGGAAATCGGAAGGATAAGGGTCATCGAAATCAGGGAGTACACAGGCGGCAAAGGCCAGAACTGTACACCATCTCGCCAATCGAGAAAAGTGTGGAACCGTGAGGCCTAGGGCTGACGTCGGGGTTCTCCTCAATGCCCGAGGTGACGAACCGAATACAAAGCAACAAAAAAATCGACTCAGAAAAGTCGCAAGCGAACTGTTCCTCGCGTCCAGCTCTTTTATGGATACTATCTTCAGGTGGTTGATCAGGAAAGAGTGTATCAGAAGGTAGCCTCGGGGCCAGGACAGCTAGGCAGAGATTTAGGCCAGCAGTACTTCCCAACCTACAGAAGAATAGCTTGTCGGGCCGTTGCACGAAGACGAGAAGGAGAGAGAGAGCGGAAGATCCCACAAGCAAGCGGCAGCATGGGCGAAAGAGCCCCGTGATAGCACCGACGCGGCCTATCGTTTCCCTCGCTCGTCTCGCCAACCACCTTCGTGGCGGATGACATGACTGGTGCCATGCAGGCACGGAAAACCGGTTCCGAAATGAATCATCCAATCGTCGCGAGATCGTGGGTCGAGGCGAATCACCTGCATGACGCTGTCGATGCGCTCCTGGCGCTTGGCGATACGCTCGCGCTCCTCCGCTTCCATCCTCTCGATCTCTTTCCTGAAAAACACAAATTAAAATGGCAGACAAGGTTCGACACGCAAACGTTCAAACTCGCGCATCCACTTGCAACCAACTACAGACAGTCGAGATGTACTCCAGGAAGGAAGCATCTGCCGATCAGTAGAGAGCGGCAGCAGCAGGAGCAGCAGCAGCAGCATCACCATCAGGATGAAGAGAAAAGAGGAGCTGCAGGAGAGGGGCCAAATCAACAACAGCAGCAGTGGCGGCAGCAAACACCCTCCTGACCGTCGTCGAACCAAGAACTGACGGATAGCACTAGCCACTAGAAGGCTGGTGCCCTCCTCTCCCGTCTGGATAGCACTAGCCACTAGAAGGGTGGTGCCCTCCTCTCCCGTCTGCAAAGACCACAGGACCACCGCGTCAAGGGCGCACGCGGGGTTTCCATTCTACGAAAGACCCAGGGGGGGGGGGCGTACTCTTATGTTTTGCATGCCTTAGCGGTTAGACCATTGACCACGCGTCCTCGAGAGGACGGAGCATTGTTCCCACAGGACCGATCACCGATGGCCAATCATTCCTTCCTACGTTGCCAAAGGTGGTTCAAAAATGTCTTCCCTAGTCTGTCTATCCTAACGATATCCCTTCCCGCCTTTTCAAACCACTTCCTACTCCCCAATACAGCTACCATCCTCTCCTCTTTATTCTATGCCTCAAACATCTCCCTGTACGTCCCTTGTATTTTTCCCAGCTCAGTCATGTACACTTCCCTCTCCGTATTGTACAGCCGACATTCCGCGACTACATGGACACGGTCTTCGCATTCGTAGCCGCAATCAAATTTGAACTTGTCGTCTTCGTCGTCTACCGTCCTATGTCTTCGTCGACGTTCTCGAAGGCCTATGTCCCCGGTCCTGAATTCGACCTTGAGCTTTGTCCCTGCATCCATTGGTTCATGTAGGTAATCCTTGAACCCTATTCCTTCTTTCAACATTCCGTACACTTCTAGACCCTCCTTATCCTTGGTTTCTTTCCTTAGATTATGTTCTTCTCTCTCGGCACAAGCAACAGATATCTTCTCCTTGAACCCCTGTAGACCCTCCGTTTCCAGCGTTTCATCTTCGTCGATGCCGAACCCCTTCCATACGTCCTCTACAACCTTGACCCATTCCGTGGGTTGTCTACCCCTCTTTTTGTTTGCCCACTTCGCCTCCCATACTATTCTCGGCAACCTCTCCTCTCCCATCCCGCACATGCGATACTGCCATGTCAGCTTCCTTGCGTCTCTTCCCGACCGTAGGGATTGGATCCCCAATTCTGCCCGGACGGCTGCATTACTTGTGCGCTTGGAGCATCCTAGGATGATTTTCGCTGCTTTCATCTGCACCGCCTCGAGTTCTTTCACTAACTTCTTATTTCCTTCCTATACTTCTCCGGCGTACTCTAGCGGCGGTACGATTACGCTCTTCAAAACCGTCAATTTGATGCGTGTATCGAGGTGCCGGTTTGCGAGTATTGGGTGCAGCTTCCCTGCTCGTGCTTTGCCCTTTTCCGCTACCTTGGACATGTGTGCATTCCACGAGCAGACTTTTGCGATCTCTACTCCGAGGTATGTGTACTGGTCCACTACTGCAATCTCCTCGATTCCCCACTTCCATCTATGTCCCACCCAGGGGGGGGGGGGAGGGTCATACCGTAGGTGACAGAAGATATCACACCCTCTGGACCCACTTTAGAAGCTCGATTTCTCCATAGCAGAAAAAGTGGCAGCCCCGAAAACGGCGACGTTGAAGCTATCTCGTCGAGAGCTTTCAGAAAACGTATCGTTTCATGCATGCATCCTCTTCTTCGTGGAGTAACCGAGCTCCGAAAATCGGTCCGGGGGGTGTGGTATATTGCGTCACCTACGGTACTTTCATGCCGCAGGTAGCGCACGGTATATAACAGCCGTCAAGTGATCGCACACCCCCTTAGACCGGTCTTCATGGCTCAACTGTTCCACAGTCAAGAGGCTGCCGATACGAAGAAGGGTGGCGTCGGAGCTTTCAGCGAGAGCTTGCCTTGATCTTGTCGGCCGGTTTTTGTGATAGCATCCTCTTGGTTGTGGCAGGTAATCGAGCTTTTGGGGAACCAGTCAAAGGGGGTGTGCGATCACCGCTGTCACTGCTTCTACTGGGACACTCTCCTGTGTGCGTTCTGTTCGCTCGAGCTTCCCTTCTTTTGCAACAAGGCAGCACAAGATGCGGGGCCAACTCCATCATTGCTTGAGTGCTAAACGCAAATTGTGGGCTCTTGGAAAGAGTATCACTAACGAGGCTACCTCCAACGCACACCACCGCTCTGTATCCACATGACACTCATCTGAGTTTATCTGCGAGAGCGAGAGCGATATACGTCAACTGAGTGATTGTTCGAGTAGGAGACAGCGGTTGAGACGAGAACGCAAAACTCCTCCTTCGAACAGTTATCGCTGGAAAAACAAACGATGAACAGGCGTTTCAATCACACATCTACTATCTATTAGGAAAAAAAAATACACACACAGAAAGACTACATTGTACCCGTTCGAGATACAGTATACTGTGGTTTGGAATCCCCCGCACATCCCCAGGGGCAACACGGGTGTATCTGCTGAACCTGCCGTGTCAAAAATTACCCCCAAAATGTATGAACGTGATCCATGCCCCAGACAAGGCACAGGAGCCACGGGGTCCACTCTCTCACCTGGCCGACACCTGGTCCGCGGTGGCCCCTCCCTCCTTCGCGGCCTGGGCGCCCAGCACCTCCGCCACGACCGACTTGCTCACCTCCTGCGGCTGCTTGTTGGCGGCCTTCTTGAGCTCCACAGCGGGGCCAGCCCCGCCTCTCGCCTTCGCCTTCTTAGCGGCCTTGCGAGACCGCTTCTCTCCCCCCGCCGCCGCAGAGCTGAAGCCCCCACCGCCGCCACCATCGTCGGCCTCTGCCGCCAGGGGGAAGCGCAGCAAGCTTCTCGTCGGCAGCGTCGGGTGGTGTTGCTGGTTTGGAGGAGGAGATGCGGCGGAATGAGGGGAGCGTTGTTGAAGCGATCGTCGAGAGGAAGTCGCCGGGATGTGGAAGCCGAGGCTTTGCCGCGAGAGCAGGGCCACGACGAGGGCCACGGCGGCTAATGCAGAGTCTCTGCCCATGGTTCGCTTGCCGGGGAGCCAGTCAGTCCGCCCTACTACGTGGTTACGCGCGCGTGGTTGGCGTTGTGCGAGAAGCCAGCATGTCAAACGTCCCCGTGTCTCACGAGTACAGCCTCCGTGAACCGAACACCCTGAAAATATAGTCGGTTCCCAAAAGGTCAAAAGGTTCTGGCAACAGCATCAGGCACCTCCGGCCCACATAGCAGTGTGTTGGCGCCGAGCTGTAGTCTTGCCCAATCCAGCGACAAGCACGATGGAGGCGACCCCACAGACGATCGGGTTGGTCATGGGGGTGGTTGTGTTCTGCTGCACGTTGTTGGCGATCTTACTCCTGCTCATCTACGGAGGTTCGTTCGAGAGGATGCGGCAACAGGTAAGGTGTGTGCGTGTCCCTGGTGTGTGCTTGTATTGGGTGGGCTTCCACGAAGGCCTGCTGCAACCGTGCAAGCCGACGCTGCTGTTTTTGCGTGGGCTTCATGCCTATGATACAGACGAGACATTCTGTTTTGCACGTTTGTATAGCGCCTGTGGGACTACTACAGCAGCCTCACAGCCGTATGTAGCAGCAGCGACAAACCAGAGCGTCCCCGAGCGCCCAACGTCAACGCCTCTGTTCTCCGATAACACCCAAACACCCTAGTGCTCAGACTCCAAGCAACATCACGCTTGTGTTGAGCTGTACGCACGGTGCTGGTTTACATGAACAAGAGTGTTTGCAGCAGCCAGAGGGGGTGTGTGTGCCGGCCAACCAACGCACACATGACACAAACTCAGCAGCAGCAGCAGAGGATGCAGAGTTCAGAACCGGACGGTGGTGTGTGTGTGGTGTGTGGATTTCTGGATTTCTGCGATTTGGTCGTCGGCGCCTTTCTACACCTATGCATTCAAGTACATACGTTTCAGTATGTGTATTTGACGTATGACATCAGCCGGGGCTGCACAGGAAGAAAATAACAAAATACCCCTCTTCTTTTGTTTCGTTCCTCGGGCGGAGAGCTGTGTGTCGCACAGACGACGACAAGGTATACGGTGTACAATATTTCTGCATCCGACGGGTGCTGCTGGTGGTGCTGTATAGCGCTTTACAAGGCGCTGACTGGGAGAGACACCTCACAAGAAATGCTTGTTTGTAAGCCTAGCGTGGCCCGCGCTTTGTATGTCTCCGATAATGCATAGAATGTGGTACATAAATTCATCTCCTGATCGTGTACAATACTTCGTTCCCTACCTCCCACGTCGGTGTTATTCAACACCGCAGGCGGAGACATACAACGGCGTGGGCCCGAGTGCCCTGAAGCAATCGCTCAAGCCCCGCCCCGAGCTGTACGACGAGCTCCTCGAGGCCGCGAAGAAGCTGCCGAGAGTTCCCGCAGCCCCCCCCTCCCACGCCACCGGCGGCGGCGGCATCGTAGCGGGCGAAGGCGAGCTGCGAGGACACCAAGTGACCCTGCGCGTGTTGAGAGCGGCGGAGGACGCGGAGCGGCTGTTTGAGGCCTGCAACGGCTCGCCGGCGTGAGTGGTTTTGGTGGGCGGGGAAGGGTAGGGGAGAGACGCCGTGGTGGGCATGAGAGAAGCCACAGGACCACTGTAGCAGGGAAGCGATCGATTTTGGTGCGATTTTTCGTGAGGCAGGTGTGCGCGCCTCGGGGAGATTCGCCTCGGCGCCCACGCAATGTCTGCGTCCGGGCATGTTGCTGGTTCGAGTAACCTATGGTTTTCAGTCTGCCTCCGCTGTTTGCGTTGTTGCTCTTTGCTGTGTATTTTTGAAACTTTGTGTTGTCATGGGGTGATTCGAAACAATGATAATAGTAGGCTTGTTTTGCCAATACACGAGTGTCCGCGTCCTCGTTCAATATTGGCGTAGGTTCGACCAAGCCTACGATCCGGAGCTGGCCTTGTGGAACTTGAGCCCCCACGGCCCCTTCGAGACAGTTCAAGACCTCAAGTCTTCGCCCCTCGTGCAGCCTCTCGCGGACGGGCTGCGCTTCACGGTGGTAAGCGCAGAGCAGATCAAGCCGGCGTTTTTTCCGAAACGGCTGATGCGGTTGACATAAGACGAATCAGCTTTGAAGACTCTTGCGACGAGATGGGGGGGGGGGGGGGTGCTACTGGCAGAACTTTTGTATGCCATAGGAGCATGATATTTATACTTGTACCTGTGGGTGACAGAAAGGTTCAGCACCGATGACATCGTGTACCGCCCCGTTCACGGGGCCGCACGGTGCACGTCACATACCACTATTGTGAAGCTTACCACACACCGGCGCGCGATCGCCAAAACTTGGTGACGTCCACTACACTTGTCGCTTACGGTAGATTCGTGTCTGATGTCAGCGTGGACCGACTGTGACGATCGCAGGGGAGATGTTGCTTCCCCGCCCACGGCTGCTCGTAGATGCACAAGAATACATAAAACGAAAGTCCCTCGCTCGGTTTCCTGGTATGACCATCACGAGCAGCTTTGTGGACATTTTTAATGCCGGTGGTTTAGCCGCCATGACCCGACGTTCTGTGAATGACTTGGCGTGCCCGTCGTCTTCATGCTGGTGCGTTGATTGTGTTCAGCGGGGCACCGTGCAATGCCCTTATTCATGCCTCACCCCCCGCTGCCCGTGTCTTGCGGTAGTTTGATCGAGAGACTGGCCGCGTGATCGGAATGGCGGCCATCCTGGGCAACGAGCCGTCATGCCTCAGGACCGAAATAGGTAAAGCGGTTGTTGCCCCAAAAAATACTACTGTAAATGTGTCGATATGCTGTACGGGACGATGGGTTCAGCCTTAACATGAACCGATCTGCCGGAGGATGCCAACATTTTGGAGCGGTGCGGGGAGGCCGGACTTGGGCAGACTTTGACTCCATGATGCTCTACTCGGTAGGGAGTGAAAACGTTGAGGTACACCGATGATGCATCGCTTGTAGCAAGAGCGGTTTGGTGGGAGCCGACTGCTGCTGCGGAGACGCGGTCGGTATCGGCCACGCAAGGGTCCTTTTGCCGACGTGCGGCGCCGTGAAATTCTCGGTTCAGCGGCACGCCGGGCAGCAAATCTCGTGGTTTCTTTTCTTTCGGCTGTAGGCACGTGAAAATAGCACCACTGCTGTAAATAAACATGAACGACGGTTTGGTGTTGTTGGTGTTCGCTCCCCGCAGGCGACATCTGGCTCAACCCGGCGTTCCGGGAGACTCGTGCCCTGCAGGACGTCCACTATCTGCTGCTAAGCCACCTCTTCGGGCTGGGCTACCGTAGGGTGGAGAGAAGAGTGGACGCCGGGGACACGGACGCAAGAATAGACCTCCCGGCCGCGGGCTTCCACCTAGAGGGCGTCCTTAAGAAGCACATGATCGTCAAGGTGCGCGTTTTTTCCGGCGGCTCTGTTGTTTGTCCTCGTGCTGTACATAGTGACGGCGTCGCTAGTCCTGTTCTTTGAGGTGCATTTTCTGGCCGTTGTTGGCCTCACCCTTTTTGCTCGTCTGTGTGCAGGCGATGGAACGGTGTACGACGATGAGAGCCGCTTGCTTGCTGCTAAATGTTGACATCCCACAGAAGAAAAAAGCTGCTCGCCGGCGTGTTCTCTCACTTGATAGTTTGCCCCCCTTTCCTTGCCCCCACCTCTCCATCCGTTCCCACCCCCCACGCTCCGTGGAACAGGGGTGCAACCGCGACACGGCCATGTTTTCCATGGTGAACAGCGATTGGAGAGACAGAGCCAAGGCGGCTTTGGAAAAGATGCTCGCGCCGGATGGCGGCGTCAACTCCAACAAGGCGAAAGCTAGAGCTAGGGCTCGGCAGACAGCGGTGGAGGCGGCGGAAAAGAGTTCCAAAGAGAAGGACGCATGATGATGGCTCCATCTGTCGGGACGGTGTTGCCTAGTTGTTGGAGACTTTTTGGTTCACGGCATGCTGTGTCCGCGGTGGATTTATGGTGTATACCCGTAGATCTCGTAGATGCTAGTTCTTCCTGTTGATAAACCCGGGGCCCCGTGATTGCAAGATCGTGGTGAATGATTAGTCGGGGTGACCTGCTTAGCGAGCGCGGGACGAGAAGTCGCTCGACACCGCTCGTGCCTTGTTTTGTGGCGTTCTCTTTTTATAGAAAACCCGTGTCCCAGACAGCAGTACAGCAGTAGCACGAACAGCCTCGGGGGCATGCTACATCTTAGATCTCACCTATTGGAGGGAATGGGTGGGGCGACCGCACTGATTTGTGGTACATACGAGGTGTAACGTGAGAGGGGACAGGGAGATCGGCAAACGGTGTGGCGGTACAACTTGCTTGTCCCTAAGCCGGCCTCCTTGCTTGCGACAGCAGGCAAAAAGCTCACCGCGCCAACAAGAGTTCATTATCCGACGGCAATGTCCTTCCTCCGGGGGGGGCTGACTTTGTAAGTACTTTCCCAGAGACGAAAGAGGTGCCATGTTGTGTTTCGCTGCATAAAAACCTATGTAGAGCCACCGTGAAGCCACAGCGTGGTGGCTCGATGCAAAACTCCAAGGCTGAGAAGCCGTTCGTCGAGATGGGATAATCGCGTTCATGTTCAGTGTATCTCAGAAAAGGGGAGCCTCTCCAGTTGCTCATGTGCATGTTTGTGGGAGCTTGCTGGTCATATTCATGGGGTTATCCTCAGAGTCGGATCCGAATAAAAACTAGACAGCGAAAGTATGCGTCATCACGAACATTCTCGAACGAGTGGGATATGCAGCGGCCCGGTCGAACAGAACCAAAACACAACACGATGGACCACAACAATTATACAACCAGAACCAACAGACTTTCATGCACACGCGAGCCAAGAGGCAGAACGATCGGAGCATCTGCATGCTTGAGCACCGATAAAACCGCGCCGCCGAAAGTGTAGCCTTGCTCTTCGGCCTCTCAGATGTAACGGAAGAAACATCGACGCGCGTGGCGGTGGAGGATGGATGCCTCATTTTTTGTCGAAACCTCGCCAATCCGACACGTCATGACGCAATGGCGACACGCGGACACAAACGAGAACATGCGCTCACGCCCAAGTGGCGAAACAAAAACTAAGCAGAGGATTTAACAAGTTCGGCGCTGGGCGGGATGGTCCCGTACAAGTAGGGAATTAACGGCTCCCGGTTTTAATTTGATTTGAGTGTTCACGCCAAGCCCCTTTTGCCAGGCATGAAGACGTGCATCATACAACAGCAGCCGACGGCTCATTCTCGCAGCTAGGCAAGAGTTGAGACAGTAAGCCTTGCCGGGAAGGCTTCGTTACTATGAAATGCACCACAACACTAGAGCCAAGAAACGCAAAGGTCACACATCGATTTGTTCATATCTTATCACACTAATACCGCAATATACCCCCATTCTCAGCGGATCTGATCCGATCCAATCTAGGATCAACAACCACAACCCCAACCAACACCAGAAAAAGTGGCGGGGCAACCCACCACTTCGCGGAGTGGAAGAACCCGGGTACGTACCCCCAGCGGTTACCCCCTCACGTGTCATGCCACACGGCGGTATTATATTCAACCCGCACACTACCTCGCGTGCCCCATTTCCCAGTTCGGCCTCACCTTACAAAGTCAGAAGCCTTGCATACACGCACCCGATGAGTATCCTCTCCCCTCCCTTTCTCTCCGCTATCCACACAACCACACGGGAACACGCAAAAAGACGTTAGGGCGCTCCCACGATAACATTCAACTAGGCTACCATCCGAAAATCCCTCAAAAACAGGCCAGCCCCCTGGGGGCAACACAACGGGTAAAACCTCCAAACAGCGCCCCCATACAAATGCTGTCCAGTCCGGGCAGGGCAGCCGCTAGCTGCAGCGAGGCGCAAGGCAAAGACGTGCAGAATCCTAACCCCTCTCCCTCATCACGCAAATAGTGATCAACAAGAAGTCAATTCCGGGTATGAATGCTCCCCCCGAGGGCCGGGAGCATTTGACCACATCCCTGCCGCCACACACAAAACACCCCTCCTCCTCCTTATGCGATGAGGCTAGTCGGGTACTCGCCCTCCTCGTCGTCATCTCCCGCGCCGCCGCCCCCGTCGCCGCCGCCGTCCGCCTCGTCCTCGAGGGCGTTCGTCGCAGATTCGAGCTCGATGTCCGACCCCATGTCGCTGCGAGGCGGAAAAGTAGACGGGCAACGTCGAGAGAACAGCAGTCGCCGGGTCATTCTTGTTTTGTTCCAGTCCACACGAACCAACTGACCAATACAAAAATCCTTCACGACCAACACTCGCCTCCCCAAACCTGAGGGGTTTCACAGAAAGGAGGGGTTTCACCGAAAGGAGCCGACGACACCTTGCAACCAGGCACCTAAGGGCGACGCAACTACATGACTGAAAAACGCGACCGAACTCATCTAATCGTCGATGCGCTATTGATAAGAGAGTAGCAGCAGCTAACCGGCTGACTGACCTCAGTCTCGACACGGAGAGGTTGCTCTTGACCTCCCCCAGCTCGGCCTTGCCCACGAGGTTGCGCCACGCCAAGTGGCACTCGGACACCACCTTCATGGCGTAGGACCGCCCCATGCACCGCTCGTCCAGCGCGAACTTGTTCTCGGGCTTGCCATCGGGGACCTTGTACCTGCAAGAGAAAAACAACCAAAGTAAAAGTGAAGCAAGAAAATATACACAAAGCGAGACAACGAAGATAGATGGAAAAAAAAAAAAAGGAGAACCGGCGAATTCAAGCCTCAACAGGAGTGCGAAAAAAAAAGGCCGGGCTACGCTCTAATCACTCAAGGACACACGCGTTTCCAACCGCACAGCTGAGCCGTGTAATCCGCTTTTTTGAGGAAGCCAATACCACCATCAGCTCCGCAGGAGCATGCACCACGGTCGGTGTCAAAGGGACCGCAAATACAATAGCCTGCGATGGAATCAAACCTACACGACAACGAGCAGGCCTCAATAGCCTGCGACGGAATCAAACCTGGTCCACGACAACGACCACCTCTCAATAGCCCCCGATGGAACCAACCCAACCCGACCACGACCAACTTCCTCAGCAGCCCGCGGTGGAATCAAAACTACACGACAACGATCAACATCTCAGCAGCCCGCGCTGGAATCGAAACTACACGACAACGATCAACATCTCAACAGCCCGCGATGGAATCGAAACTACACGACATGGACCAAGACTCACGTGCGGAACCACTCGCGGATGGCGGGCACGACGCCGGGAAGAAGGCGCTCGACGTCCTCAACGTCGTTAAGCTCCGGCGCCCATCGGTCCTCCCTGTCAATTACGATTACCTTCCAGTCCGTCTCGTCTGATACAATTTAGAATGGTCATCAGCACAGAGTAGTGGAAGAGGAAAGAGGCAGGGTCAGACACGTTGATCATCAACAAGAGTGTCGTTGATGCTGTTTGGGTTATAACTGAAATGTGCTGCAGCCACACGTGCGCCCAGAAAAAACGTCGTGTACGGATACAAATCAACCTAAACGATGGTTGAAAGCTGGGAAACGCGGGAGGAAGGTCGCCGCCGAGAACAGCACATACCGTTTCAATGAAACAAAGACAATCTGTACCAGACCTGACCACATTGCGAGTGCATGCTTCAACAATTTCGATCTCGGTTACCGCTTGCCGCAGTTGCTGACCAAAGTTCGGGCGCAAAACCACTGCTCCGTACTTCGCAGCGCACAGAATCTCTCTCTCTCTCTCTCTCTCTGCTTTTCGGGTCGATCACATCGACACGCCTACTTCTCCTCCAGAACACCTTCAACTAGAAGCCTCTTCCAAACACACGACAACACCCCATTTCTTTTCCTCTCCCCCTTACCTTCGTCGATCATGGCCAGCACGCCGAGCACCTTCACCTGCCGCACGTCCCCCGTCGCAACGATCCGCAGCCCGATCTCACACACGTCCAGCGGATCGTTGTCCCCGGGGAACTTGGTGTCCGGGTGCACGTGCTCCGGGTCCTCCCACGTTCGCGGGAAGCACCCGTAGTTGAAGAATATGTCGCCCTGGCGATTAGTCACGTAATTGAAGGGAGGGGGGCACCGCGGGGGGTACTCCCATTGAATGCATGCTTGCTTACACCGCAGCCATGTGTTTGACCATTGAATCATGGGTACTGCGACTGAGTGCTTGCTTGCTTACACCGAGGCCATGTGTTTGAGCGTCGATCATGCATGTCCTGCAAGGGTCGGGGGAAGAAGCCGCAGTAGCAACAGAAACTCATTCAAGACCCCCCCCCCCCCCCCCCCGTCGCAGAAGTCCAGAGCCACCAAAACTTGTCGAGCGTGCGCGCCTCCTCCGCGTGTGTACCTTCTTGAACTCCCGCAGCAGCCCCTTCTTGGTGTCCTGCTTGATGGGGTTCCCGACCTCGTTGGTGGCGATCTCGAACTTCTTGCGGGAGCAGCGGGGGATCTCGCACACGAAGTTGAGGTGGCCGGTGCACTTCTCCGCCTCGTCGCGCACGTAGAGGGGGATGTCGTGCCAGACGGATATCACCTGCTGGCTGCTCACGCGCGCGCGTGCGGCAAGGCGACGCAGCGTTGCGCACGGCGAACAAAAAAAAGGGTGTTCGTGGCAAAGGGGGGAAGGACAACGATGGGTAAGGGATGGTGTGCTATTCCCGCGACACGGAATGATATCCTCGGTAAGACCGCTACAACTGAGAGTGTTTGTCCAGAGCAGGATTCATCGAAAGCGAAACAAACGGCCGGCATCCCTCGTGTGGGTGTCGGTGTGCGGGCGAGTCGAAGAAAGGAAACAGCTCGAACGTTGGCGGTGCCTCAGCAGGGTTGAGAGCAAAATTCACAAAAATTGGACATCAAAGAAGGAGCTTCGCGGGGGGGGAAAGATACTCCTGCACTTTCAACTCCCACGCGGCTGACTTGTTTCGTGCCCTTCCGCTTGCCGCTACATGTGCAAATAAATCTTCGAAGCGGAGGGGCGCTGAACGCATGTGGGACACTGGCGACAAACTGCCCACGCGATAGTACATTCACGCAAGGAAAGAGCATATCCCGGCAACAACAACAACGACGACAGCATTCTACATGGCAACAGCAACAACAACAACAGCAGCAGCAGTAGCAGCAGTAGCAGCAGCAGCAGCAGCAGCACGCTGCCTTGTTGCTGCACTGCACTGCACTGCACGGTACCTGTGAGCGTGTTCCGCCATGGCGAAGCGGAGGCGGTAGTCTAGCGTCCCTTCCTCCCCGCTCTCGAAGATGTTGAGCTTGTCTTCGGCGGAGGCGGCCGGCACGCCCATGTCCGTCAGGCTCGTCGTCGAGGAACCGCTGCGCTTCATGTTTGATTCTAGAGAGGCTTTGATTGTCTCAACTCCTGGTGCTTCCTTGCCCTCGCTGTCTCGCTCTGCTTGTGTCTGTTTCCTGTCAAGAAGAGCGCGGGGCGAACAAGGCGGACACAGTTAAGATCAATCGCAACATCATGGCATGACAACGTAACACTTGGTGCTTGGAAGCGCACACGTGTGTTCATGGATAGCAACGGGCTGATTTTGCGGGAAAATAAATATTCTGAACGCAGCACCGCGCGCGAGGCCGTCATCCGCTGTACAAAAATGGAAGATAACACTTGGCAGATTCAAGGAGGAGGCGGCGAATCACGATTACCACTCCGTTTTGAAGGTTCACTCTCGACCGATCGCCACCGATACTTGTACATAAAAATCAACGTCGAAAGCGGTCGAGTGTGATCAGCGATTGCTCTCAACGCCCTCCGACAGCAACAACGAAGACAGGGGTGGGATGCGGGGGGAAATGTAACTTTCTAGAACACGCTGGAAATTTTCTGCGGCAAGACCTTCGTAGATACGTATCATACGACGGTTTGAATGTCACAACAGCGATTCGCCGGCATGTACCTACGGAATGTGGTGGATAAATTTGTCACCAACACACAATGCAGGGAAGCGCTGATTGTTAGCAAAAAGAGTTACCGAGGTAAAGAAGCAAAACGCTCACACCGCCGTCCGTGGCCGAACACCAGTCAGTAAAGGCGGGATTGTCAACAAGACACATGGCCAAGTGACCAATCATCCGGAAGTTACTGCTGTGCGTTCATCGATTCGTCGCTCTTTTCTCCGTCCCCGGGCCGACACCGACAACAACACCAAGGGCAGGGAGGGAAAGAAGCCTACCGCGGAACGCTCCAGTACGAAGGACGTTGCTCAACCGCAGCCAGTCAAGTGCTGTGTACGTGCTGCGCCTCTCTGTGTTTGCATGCACAGACACGTCATCGACTACGTATACGTGGTGTTCTCCTGCTGCGGTTATGCCGACCGTGGCGGAATGTTCCAATAGGAATGTTCGAATCATTTTCGGGAAATCTCGTCCTGATCATAATTTGCTGGATAATTTCGCTTGGTGTGTGCGTGTGTATGTATGAAGAGCAGTATTCATCAACCGCTGTTGCTGCTGATGTCAAGAAGATGACAGGAGTTCGGTGGTTGCCTTATCACGGTGTAGGTTGTGTGCTGTTCGCTGCTCTGTCGGTTGTGGTGGGGCTATGTAGCGATGTCGGCGTCTGCTCATATCATCAACCTTTTTCGTGTCCGAGAAGCTGCAATTCGGGGGGCGTGTGCGCCCGACTACATGTAGGTATTTTATCCCATGAGAGGCATCGCCCCGCTTGCGTTGTTGCATGAGAGGCCTCCGCCATGACGACGGCGTCCACATCAAACACCGACACGACAGCGGAATGCCTCTGCGGTGCGCCAATCGAAAGGCGAGAACCTTTCTTTCGGGTAGTCTACGCGCACCTGCTGCCCCCATCTGAGTTGTTGGCACACCACACCAACAAGCAGATCATTTTCCCTCTTGACTCCTTGCGCGTCTACGCACACACCAACAGGAGAGAGCGATAAGCTACACGGGGGTGCCCAGAGCAAGGGGTTTTTGCCATTGTGGGCGCCCCCAGCGACAACTGCAGGGAATTCGTGAGAGAGGGGACCATTAGCGTCGAACCGGCACCACACCCATTGCTTGCTGCATGGAAGTAGTGCGTGCGTTGTGGCTCTTTGTCTGTCTTTTCTCCCTCTCAGTCCGTCCAAGACGAGAGCTGTATTGCTGGCGCCCTCACCTCAAAGCTCCGTGACGCAAACAAGCTGGTGCCAAAGACTCACCTGTGTGCGGTAGACAAATTGCCTCGTGTAGCGTTCCTTGAGATCCGTGGGCTTCCTGTGTGTATGGGGTGAGGCAAAGGCAGAGTGGCAAGTGCAAGTCGTGCGTGGGCGTGCTGCGTGCTGCTGCCGTAGGGGCTCCGCGCATCATGAATCATGTCTCACCCCCGCAAAAAGTTCTCCCCGCATTGTTACTCTTTACATGAAACGCTTGCCATCGCCCGCCGTGGTTGAACGACCGTTTGTGATCTTATCTGCAAGTAGTACTACATTGCGTCTTCGTGAATCAGCTGGTCAGTAGAACCTGCGCTGTGCAATTCGTTCATGTATCATGTTCCTACGAAATGCCAACGCGCAACCAACAATTATACTCTCTTGTGTGTACGGAGCGCAAAGAGCCAAGAACCTTGTATTGCTCGTATCGTACAATAGGCGCTCCGTCGGGCGCACACGCCTAAAGAGCAATGCATTTTTATGCCTTGTTGTCTTCCGGATGGACGGGGAAAGAAGTACATACATGTATTTTGGTCGTTCGTTACTCATTCCCTCCGGCACGATGTACTGATCCCTCCATATATATTCCCCCGGCATATTCGTCTCGCTTTTTCCTCCATGTGTGAAGAACACAACGAACGAACGTCGAGCATGTCGACTCGCATTGTTTCTCCCATTTGAATTGTTGCTTGATCGAAGCTGGCGCTGGTTGGTTTTTGTTTAATTTATCGTTCTGACCGCTACCCGGTACCTCTGCCCCCCTCCCGCACTCTTCAGCGGAAGGAAATGGACTTTGTTGACTACGAGCTTACTTCAGTACTCAAATCACGAGTACTGCTGTAGTGTACAGTAGATAGAGCGCAAAAAAGGTAAAAAAACGGGCACTCACAAGTAAAATCTTCAACGGTAGAAAGACGCAGTCTTACGGTCTTCGCGGGCGAAATTCTGCAATCACGCCACACTCACTGGTCGCCTCTTACACAGAAAAACAAATCGTCTACATTGTCTATGGAGACTATCTGCCCGAGAGTGCTTCTATTGTACCAATTTTGCGCAAAGACCATCCCTTCTTCTTCGTTTCATGCGACTCAGGTAGACGTGGCTCAGCGCAAGGACTTCAAGGAACATTGGTAAAAGGGACGCATATTATTCGGTAGAAGGTCGAGCTACAGCAGTCGCCCGAAGTAAACAAAATGAACACGAGTCGCACGCTGTACCCCCGCCAACCTGTCTGTCTGTGTTCTCGTGGGTGTTAGACCAGTGTACACATCAACCGTTTATGAAAACCAAAATTTTATCGTTACGAGCAACAAGGGTTATTATGCGCACCGCATCTCAACCTGCCTCCCTTAGATACTCACGATACCACTTTTGGACGCAGACGGGACAAAATAAGTCGATAAGTTGATTCCGGTCCTCATGGGGGGGAAGGCTGACCTCGCCAAGCACCGGTTCTCCTCTATAGTCGTCTGCTCTCGCTATCAGCAAAAAACCACCGCCGTCGCCTCCCCCCCCTCCCCCCACTAAAACCCCCCGATACTTACCATCGCGCTTTTGCTTCATTGCACCGCCAACTTGTCTTGTTCGTATCAGAGACGATCATAGCGATTATGGTGGTATGCACTTCTCCACCACCGCCTACTACGACGGTTGATCGCCTGTCTTGCCGCCCCTTCTATTCCCGTCCGCCGCTTCTCACGTCCCATGGCCGACCGAAAAAACGGCATGGTGCCAATTTCCGCCACATGTGAGACTAGTCAGGGAGCTGTTCGGGCAGGGCTGTTGGCAGTCGGAGTCCGGGGTGTAGAGGAGCACACAGGGGGGGGGGGGGGGGGGGCGCGGGGGGGTGAGTGGCCATGTAGGTGAATGGGGAACGAGTGAGCGCGTTCGGGAGAGATAAAAAAAGGGTGCAAGGGGAAGAGCGGGTACACTGGTTCCACCAGTGCGTGCAATCAACCTTTCCTGAAACACTGTCCCAGTGTAGAGGTCGTGTACAGCACAAGACCTACGTTTCGAGTGCAGAAAGTCAAGCAAGTGGATGACGCCAAAGAACACATTGGTTCACTGCGATGTGTTAGTATTCCCCCGTGACCACCCACGGAGGTTGCCGTGCCCACCCACGGTAGTTACTGATTTCTGGGGACTATGTTAACCCAGGGACCGATGCAGATGATATATAACCTTGATTAACACACACACGTGCTCTTCCAGCACGGACCGAAGTCACTACAGGTCCTGTTTCAGTGAATACATGCGCGGGCTCCCACGAGGGGCCCCGCACTTGGATTCCCAACAGTATACCCCCACACACACACATACTCTGCAGATCGGATCTTGTATCCAAGTACCCCAAACACGATGAAGAGTTTTTGACCAGGAATGGTGGTACTGAATCCTCCCAATGGATGCATATGTCTGGTACGTGAAAAGAACCTCAACAAAAATCAATAGCAACGACAACAGAAACAGCAACAACAACCGTTTTAGCAGCAGCAACAACAACCATAACAGCGAAAACTACATCATTACCAGCAACACCGCCAGCCCCAGCAACGATACCAGCAAAAGCGATGGCAAACGATGTTTCCCCCTCCCTTCCTCTTACCAGAGCACAATCTGCCCTCGTCGCCAGGCTGGAATCGCTCGGGAGCCTATCGCCGCACGAGCACATGGAGCCGAACTCAAGCGCGTAGTACGCGAAACTAGCAGCCTTGCAGTGCTCCCGGCAGCCCTCGGGGCTGGTGCCTTCGTAGTCGACAAGCGGGACGTTCGCCAGCTCCAACTCGGACCAAGAGTGCCTGTAGCACCCTTGATATTCACCACTGTTGACGTGCGTGCGGTTTGTGTGTAGGGGGGGGACGGGACACAAAGAAAGAAGAGGAATGCATCATCAGTCAAAGCAGGAGGTTTACAGTAGTCTGACCCGCAGCAAAGTGCTTGTGATTAGATGGAATGCGTCAGCTCTCGTCTGCCAACACCATGATGCTCCAATGGTACTACCAGCGAACGAGAGGGGCGGCAGCGTTTAAGGGGGGCCAAAACGTGTTTGTTATGTGGTACCAATTCTATCTGAAACGCTGCGCCCTATGCATACGGAAGTCATTTGTTTCCGAAGGCCGCACATGTCATCCGAAGGTAGGATACGTTCTATGAGTCTTTGTCTGCGTGCTGTGTCGTCCACAAAGTTCGCTGCGGTATGCATAGGTGCGTGAAACGGGTTGGAAACGAGACAGTCGTGGGGACTTTTCTACCTAGGAATGACTTCTACACTGACTGTGTAGGTTCATCGCTACAGGCATGCGTCGTGTCCGCCGTTGGGGGGGGTGGAGGGTTTCAGGGCCTCTCACGGCTTCTCATGGGGGTGGGGCAAAAATAGCTCATCTTGAGGGACTGCACTGCAACGCAAACGCCGCTGGCAAAAATAAGGTATTACTAGTCATGCCGTTGAAAGAGATCGTGTGTTCGAGCAGAAACAGTGTAGAGATCCAAAACCAACGGATTTCATCGGGACACGAGCCTAGGTTGTCTGCAAATCATCAAGAGCGGCGCTTAGGGTTAGCTATTCTTGTGTACGCTGTCTCCTCTCAATGCACGCTGCCACGCACTTTGAGCCGTCGGTGCGCGATGTTGGTGTCGGCGCGTCTTGCTGCTGCTGCCGTCCTTCTTCCTGTTGCTTCTGCTGCTGCTGCTGAGAGGGCGTCTTTGAGGAAGCTGAGTCGTAAGCAACTTCGGTGCGATCCCTGAAGTTGACCACGGTTGACTGGAGGGGGTGACCGCGACAACGACGCCAACGAGACACACGCCGGCACGGGTAGGGTATGCAAGAAACGAACCATGAGAGCAGGCATGGGGAGAGCAGGTTCAGGTGCGACAAGAGATCGAAGACGCAGAGAGGACCGCAGAAGGACAATCGCAAGATCGACCAAGGGTGCTATTCACGCATTCGGGTGGATGGACACTTGTAGTTGACCTGCACCCTCTCCCGGTTCGTTTGTCTCTTTATCTGCCCTGCTCTGTTGCTGTATCGCTCTTGTAGGTAAACCCACCCGCAATATTCCCTCATCTTGCCAAAATGTGTCTCTTACTACACTGTGAAAACACATGCGGCACTTTCTCAGCTGTGTCTCTATCTATCGACTCTGTGTACCTTTCTGTACCCCCTTTACCCCCCACCCCGCAACCCTTCCCCTTACCAGACTCTCTTCGATGACGCGAGCATTGTCCGTCGATGTCGTCCCCAAACTCTTACTCGCGTACGTCTTGTCCTGGGTAGAGAACATGGCCACCCGAGGTGCTTGCAGGCACCCAGTCTCGTAGGCCATAATGGTACGATACCTTACCCCGGGTTGGACCGACATCATGCCAGCATGTTCAGCAATCGATCGCGAGGCGGTCGTGGTGGTGGCGGGTGGTGACGGGGGTTACTGGGGAGAGTAGAAACGTTTCTATATACTTTCTTGTACACGGCTTGAGCGAGTAAATTTTTGTTCTCTTCGCCGGGATTGGACTTTGCTGCGCGACCCGCGTTTAACGAGGTTTGGCAGTATTGGTAGTTGACATCCTTGCGCGATTCGTCCGGTAAGCGTAGTGCGAGAAGGAGTTGTGACCCATACACGTGGGGCGATGACACTAAGACGGAAACGACCGAACTGCGCGGGTGGGAGACAAGAACGTCGCTGCATGCTCTGCGGCCAGCCGAGCCCACTGGATGCCCCACGCTGGGGACGAACTTGTCGGGAGCAACAAGCACGGGACTATGACAGGCGCGAAGCTTTTCCATGATCTCTTAAAGGAAGCACCTCTACTGCAGTACGTCGTCTGCTTCATGGGGGCTCCAAGTACTTTCTTTCACCAGGGGTGGGCGGATACTTGTCGAGCTTGCAGAGGAAACGCCAACACGATGCAACGGGCAGAGCAAACAACCCTAACTCACGGGGTGTCACCGGTGCAGTACCGCTGCGCGTGGGCGTAGTCGTGCTCGCTGGACGTGTCCTCCCGGTTGTGGTTGGCCCCCATGTTGTGCCCGATCTCGTGAATGTGCGACAAGTTGTCGAGGCAGTGCGTGTGGACGATGGAGTACCCGAACCCCTCGAAAGCCGCTCTCGGGGTAGCCATGACGTACCTTGAGACAACGACAACAACGACAACACGGCAGGAGAAGCCGTTGGTGAACACAACATCGTTGTATCTACGCTGCCCAGGGAGCGTGAGTGACCCCTACTGTAGAGCGTAGATAACACATTCAAAGACGTGGTCACGGTGTTAAATGGGCCGATAATAGTGGAGAGTCTGATATAATGTGCTGTCAAGGGGGGCTAAGTGGAGAAAACACCAGGAGAGGTTTAGTCCAAGGGAGACTGCTTTGTTCCGAAGTCAAAGGTAGGAGCATTGCCTCTTTGATTCGCCGAAAGTATCGCACGGGTGCCGGGTTCGTTAGACGGCGTGTCTCAGTACGATATGCCGAGGGATCAGCAGCCAATCTGCTGCGGTAGCTTCAATTTGTTCCCCAAGATAAGGGTGTTATTGGTCGTCACAAGACGGCCGTCTGGCAAGACTACAGGGAGAGGCGGAACGGCCACAACAAGGAGTTCGAGAGGTCGCTACCTGCAGACAACAGAAGGCGACGAGAAGGGAGGATGGAAAATTCGCTTTGGACCGGACGGTGTTGTCTTGGCACGTGAGCGTGCGATGGCCCCAATGGGGTGAAAACGAAAACTAACCCGACGATACAACTGTGGTTGCCATGTGTTGGCGAACATGTAGATTCTTATATAATATGAAGCAACCAAATGTCGTTGACAAGTTGAAATTGAAAATGTCAAGTTGGGAAACGAGCGAGATGTGAGTCAGGTTGCATGTGGCAGCGAGGGATGTGGAGGTGGGTATACGTCTATCTTCCTGTATCGAGAAAACGAACGAGTAGTAGGTAGCAAGACATGAAAATCATGACGACAACACCAACCCACACACGACAATACGCGAGGAGGCCCATCTCGTGTATGAGGTGTCGTTCTAAACTGTTGGGTCCTCGAAGGATAAATCATTCCATCGTCTATGATGGTCAGTAGTAGGAACGACGACGAAAGTAGTCCAGATCAAATAGAGTAAGTGTGGCGACGAAGAACCTCCCGCTGTGCCTACCCCGTTCCGCAGGATCCATCGTAGTAGCCGATTATCTGTACCAGGTCCGCGCCATACTCCGTGCGCAGGCTGTCGAAGATCTCGTCCTTAGCAATGTACGATAGGTCAGAGTTCATGTCCAGACCCTCGACGAAGTCCGCCTGCTTCGGTAGGATGGTAATGAAGTGTCCGATGAAGAATCAAGTCACGATTAGTGTGTCTGTTCGTCGTCGTTTCGGGAGCGCGTCCTTTCTGTGTCGTTGGAGTTGAAATCGACTCGATTGGGGTTGAAGATGGTGTTGCTGGGTTCAGTGGCAGCGACGGCTGTACTTCAGTTTCCCGACATTAGCTCCAGGCCCGCCAGGTGTTTCGATCATATTTCGTCAACATGCTTCACGCAGAGACAAGATTCCTCCACAAATCGAGCGGTGAAGGTCAAGAAGGCTATTGTTTTAAACAAGTCAACCCAGGTTAGTATGGACTGCGAGTGATCTCGGATAGGAAATGACGGAAGCACGAACATGACCATGAGGCAGGCACAAGTACGAGCGACGGTAGGCCTAAAAGGGTTCTGTGCGTGTTGTTGGTTTACGAATGTGACGTGTGCTTTTGTGCGAGGTTCGGGCCAGGTACTGTTGGAGAAGAGGAACATACCGTGTGATCAAGGCCAGTCCACTCTGACCAAAGCTCAGTTGTCAGATGAGACAGTGTCAAAATAACAACAATAACCTCGCCTCCGCGACGTGGACGACGTTGATAGTCGCGCTGATGCCAGAATCGGCCAAGGCATCGTTTGCCGTGGCGTAGGCCGTGATAATTTCCGTCTCCATCTGCTGGTTGGTTAAAAGCGTGCCGGCAGTGCCGGAACTGATCATGGCCGCTGGAGTGTAGAGCACCATGACATCGATCTGAACGCCGAAGGATAGAGAGTTGAAGATGTTGGTCAGGAAGCGGGGGGCAGAAGGTGCTCGTTAGTTGCCTGGATGGGATGCTCATCGAGTTGACCCGTAAGGACCGTCTTGTGCCCCAGCAAGAAGGAAGGCAGACCCGGAGTTGGGGAAAGCCCGCAGGTTTCACAAAGAGACATTGAGACGACTTTACTCTCTGTCATTACCCGCCCTGTGGCATTATTGAAAAGATAAGGAACATGGCCTGCGAGGCAGGGGAGAATGTTTGAGCTGGGAAAGACGATGATGCTGTTTCGCAACACAAATGAAGGAGGGAAAAGGGGTGCGTGGGGGGGTTGGCTGGTGATCGAGAGTCAGTCTGGGAAGAGCAGGAAGCAGGGGGTATAAGCCAGGCAAGCAAGAGAGTTCCCGGAAGAACTGGACTTGGTAACCACGGTATGGGAGCGGGGGGCAAGCGCTCCTACCCTCATACTTGGTCCTCGAGTTTTGTTTACGCTCCCGCACATCCCACCACACGAAAACAACACGCTACCGGGGATCGAATCGAACCCTCTTCCCCGTTGGTGAACTCCATGCAACAAAAAAAAGGCAATGCAAGCACTCACTTCGGTTGTCGCGGTGAGGACGCGACCACTCGGCATTTGAACTTCCGCGGAGCTGAGGCGCCGGACGCCTCTCTCGTGGAAAACTTCCTGCTCCGGTGCACTGGCCACCAAGTATTCCTGGGTGTTGGGGGGATGTACAGAACGGATGTTCGAACGAAGAGTGAGTGCATCGACAAATTAGAGCGATGTTGGACGTATGCATCGTAAGACACAACGAACGACTAAAGATATGCTCCTTCAAGTGTGCGGAAATGAAGAGTACAGTATTTTGGTTGATGCATGCGTGCACGTGCGTGCATGCTTGTATCATGTGTGTGCGAATAATCAAATAAAAACCGATGTGTTCGTGTGAGAACGCCCCATTATCCCCCGGAGAACGACGGTCGTCGACGAAGTCTTACCGGAGAACCCGGGATACAGACGGCCTCCACCGAAAGGGTGGAGAGAGGGGGGGGGGGGCGCGGGGGGCAAAATTTGTGTTCAACTCACGTTGAGGAGGCGAACGTCTTCGTCCTTGGCATCAATATCCGGGTCGCGCGCGCGTTTAGCTTCCATCCCTTCCGACACCTCCATCGCGAGACGACGCCGTTGCACCTCGGACGTCTTTCTGCTGCGCCTAGCGCCTCGCCAGGACTTGGATGTTTGTCCCTTCCCCTCACTTCTGCTGCTGCCACCGTCATAGTTGTTGCCAGTGGTGCCGCCATTGTCGTCGCTGCTGGTTTGTTTGCGGAGGTGGCGGCGGCTTCGACTGCGCCGGAGGTTTCCATCCGCGCCTCGAGCTTCGTCATGATCTTCTTGGGCGTGTTGGCGGCGATGGCCTTTGTGGTGTGCTTGCTCTGGTTCCTCGAAGGTGGCCAAGGTCTCGAGGGATTCTTCCTCCGCCGCGTGCACGAGCTGAACAGTGGACAAGGGATGGAGTAGTGGTGGCCGTCGTCGTCGTCGTGGGAATTTTGGAGTATCGTTGCAGGGGAGAGAAGACGCGCGTTAGTCGAAATAATATGTTTCGCCCTGCGCGCGTGGTGTTTGTAAACAGGACCGAGCGAACGAGAGGAGGCGTGCGAGCGCTCTGTTTGAGTCTTTCCAGATCCTTGCAGTACTCAAGAACGTGTGCGAAGAGTGGGGCGTAAGCATCTACGCTTCAGATAAAAAAAAATGAGTGTAAAACACTCTTGCTGAGAACGAAGGCTCGCGAGCTGTCGTTTACTCCATGGGATGACTACTGTCCTCGAGTAGATAGGCCTAGCATAACTTTTGCACCAAACCTTCGCTCAACACCCATGTACCACGTTCTTCGTTTCGCAAAGCGGAGATTAGCGGGGGGGGGGGGGGGGGGGCCCTACAAAAATTTTCCCAGTTTTTTTCCCCGACCCCCGGGGGGGGGGGCGGGGGGGGAGGGCCCCCCCCCCAAAATTTAAGGGTTTTTACCTTAAAAGGGGATTAAACTCCGTTCCCCCCCAAAATATCCCAACGGGGCAAAACCCCGAAGGGTCCTTTAAACCCTTTTGAAGCCCCCTTTAAAGGGATAAAAAATCCCCAAAGGTAGCCCCCAAATT